GTCAGCACCACGCTCAGCCAGTGAGCAAACCGGCCATCCCTATATGGGATCCGAACCCGGGGCCTTGGTGTTATCAGCACCGCACTCTCCCGAGTGAGCCATGGGCAGGCCCATTCACTTCTTTTTTCTTTAATTGGAGTTTTTCTTTTGATCTGTTCTCCACATCACTAACTCTTCTGTAATCATTGTTCTTTTAAGCCCATCCAATGAAATTTTTTCTTTCAATTACTTTATTTTTTAGTTCTAGAAATTCCATCTAGTTTTTATATTCATGTGCTGAGATTTCCTATCTTTTTATTTATTACAAGTACATTTTTCCTTGAGCAACCTATAAAAACTGCTTTAAATGCTTCTCTGCTCATTCCAATATTCAGGATCATCTCATTGTCAGTCTTCTTTGATTTTCTTTTCTTTTGAGAATGCTTTACATTTTTCTGTTTCTTCATATGTTGAGTAATTTAGATTTGTGTCTTGGACATGATAAATAAAATGCTGTAAAAATCCTAGATTCTGATATGTTTCTCCAAAAACTTTTTTCTTTTTTTTTTTTTTAAGCAAGAAGTTAACTTGGCTGAACTCCCAACTGCAAGCTCTGGCTCTCCTGCAGTTGGTGACAGCTCAAGTTTCAGTTCATTCTTTAACCTGGCTACTGTACTTGGAATTTGTTCTGTGCATTCATGCTTCAGAGACCAGCCAGAATTTTGGACAAGAGTTCATACACAGAATTTATGGATCTTCTTTCAAGGTTCTTTCCTTGCCAGGATTTTCCTCTTCATTTTCCAGCAGCTGACATTGTCCCAAACTGTGTCCTGTGGTTTTTTAAACCAATAAAACTATAGGCTCCACATGATGGAGAGTGGGGACTGCCCTTGGACTAAGAGCTATAAAAATGAGAAACACTAAATGCTATTCTCTTCTCCCAAGTTTTCTCTTCTCTGTAGGATCAGCTTGCTTTTGGTTGCTTTCCATTGTTTTCAGGTAGTTGATTCCAGAGTTTGTAGTTTTATGTGTTGGAGGGTTGGTCTGGAAGAACTACTCAGCCATCACTTGAAGTGGAACCTTCTCCAATTGGGTAGTATTCTTTTTACTACTTTCTGTGATTACTGAATAGGGATTTATTTCTGGTTATTTTTTAAACTAGGTGAGTAGAAATTTTTAATGTGTTCTGTCTGTGAAAAACCTTAATAAACATTTGGTAAACATTTACAAAATTAAGCAATTCAGTTTTTCCCAGTGAGGGCTCTACTGGCTTTGGGAAAGGATATTCTTCATTATGGGAGACAGTCTTATGCAGTATAGGACATAGCATGCCTGGATTTTGCTTACTAGATGCCAGTAGCATTCTCTAGTCACTATGACATAAAAATAATTTCCCCACATATTTCCACATGCCTACTGGGGAGACCAATCACCTGAAATTGAGAACCATTGCATCTTTTTTCAGATTTAACAATTTTGTCTTCCTAAAACAAATCTCTTGATGATGCTTGTCTAAAGTCTTTCAATGTCTTCCTTCGCCCTACAAAATTAAGTGTAGCCTCCTTAGCATGGCATATAAGATCTTTCACGATATGGCCTCAGCTTACCTTTAAAGTTCATCTCCAACAACATTCCTCAACTGTGGTCTTGTCTTTCTCTCCCTTTTACAGACTTTCCTTCTTTCTCTGATATTCTTTTCTCCCTTCTCTATATAAAGTTCCCTTACTCATCTGAGATCCACCTCAAATGTAATTTCTTTATCAAAGCTCTCAGTAGACTGTTTCTATCATGCTTAATACTAGTGTTAATTGCTTCTTCTATAAACTATAGTACTTTGTACATATCTATATTGTAATAATTATACTATAATTTTATACATGTCCAGCTCATTCATCAAATGTAATCATATTAAGGTCAAAAACTGCTCCCAGCCTATCATGCTATATAGTAAGGCCTGAACTAGGGAAGTGGCAGAGGGTTTGTAGTAATTAATTTTTAAAACCCTGAAAATTGATAAGATTTGGTGATTTTGGAAAGAAGTTTCTAATCCAATGGTCTGGCTTTCCTATTATCAAAGATAGATACTAGGAGAAGCGACCAGTGCAGTAAAATGGAAAAGATAATCAGTTTTTGTAACTTGAATGTATTTATAGAATATTCATTGACTGCAGCTAGAGAATTTTTTTAAAAAAACAAAAAATAAGAACTGGTTATGTAAGTTGGAATCATACTAGTATTTAAAGTATGTTATACTAAGTTGAAGCATGGGAAAAGATACTTCCTCTAGGGAGTATGTTAAGTAAAAAAACATAATTGGGAAACACAGCATTTGAGGTTTTGGTAGACAAAAAGAAGTCAGAAAAAGAGGGTTCATCAAAAATGTAGAAGGACCAGAGTGGTATACCAAGAACTAAGGAAGGAGCATTTCAAGAAGAATGCTAAGCTTTACATTTGTTGCAGCCCAAGTAGGTAGTTTTTTCCCATCTATGCTCTTCTTAAGTTTACCTTTTCCACTTGAAGATGAGTTCTTTGAGGCTAAAAAAATCATAGTACTCTTAATGGCTTTTATATTGTTGCTAGACAAATACTCCCTTACCCACTGTAATTTGAGCTCTGCTGAAACCCACAAGAATGCTTATGGTTCATTGCAACTCAGGCCTATCTACACCTTCCTTCCACAGTAAGTGCTGTGTTGTTTCAAGCCCAGAACATATCATACCAACCAGGTACTGCTAATGAATACTTTCTATACACAGTCACCAGTTATGTTTTCTAAGATACATGTCATAATTTTGAGAGAGAGAGAGAGAGAGGAAAGAAAAGGAAGGAAGTAGGGAGAGAGGAAGGGAGGGAGGGAGGAAAAGAGGGAGAAAAAAAGAAAGGAAAGAAAAAAATGGTTAAAAAATTTTGGAGCCCCCTCCAAATTTCTCATCAACAGGATTTTCCTGAGTACATTTTGTTAAAGCTAACATTCTAATTTTGATGAGCCCTGTATTTTCATTCTTCCATTTATCTGCTGTTTTCTCTTTCAGAAAGATCTTAACCTCTCCTCTAAATTTACCTGTTAAAATGTAATTTGTCCTTCAAAGTCCTCTCAGATTATTTCCCCTCCAGGACAACTTTCTCAATTCTTGCAGGTGGAACTTTTATTCTTCTGTCTCCCTCAATACCTAACACAGACAATGGCCTAGAGCAGTTTCTCAATAAATCCAAATGAATTATTTTAGCTCTAGTTTAGTTTCTATATAAGCATATTTAGAAAGATGGCTTTACTATCTCTATTTTTCACAAATACATTCAGAACTTTTAGGTGTACACAACTTACAAATCAGAATGTAATAACTTTTAAAAATATTAAGACTGATTCAGCCTTTGTATTTTTCTATACATAAGTTCATCTCTCCAGGACTTCTAATTTTAAATATCTGGATGAATCACTGCTACTTTGGATTGTCTACATTTTTTAACTTAAAGAGTTTAAGTCATTGATCTTATTACTTCTCTTAATTGGTCTTTTAAATTTTTGACAGTATTATGACTGATGCTCAATGAGAGTTTAAGAGTCTTAATATTTAAACAACCTTTTTTTTAAAATTAGAGTTTGTTTTCCTTTGCTTAAAGTGAATTTTTTCTTAAATATCACTATTAATAACTCAACTTCCTATGGTTTTTTTCAAGCATTCATAAGTGAATATGTTCTCTCCTAGGAAGTCCTAAAGAAATCAT